AGGAAAAGATTTTGTAAATAAATTTTAGGAAATTTTATAATTGTAGGTAAAAATTTGTTTGTGTTATCGAAATGAAGAAATGGGAGATGTATGACGCGTTTTGATTGGATGAGATTGAAAAAGGTGGGATGGTTGGTTTGAGAATGGTGCAAGGAGTTTGCAAGGGTGCAAGGCGAACGGCCGTTGTTCTCGGGTAGTTTCCCAAAGGAAGGAAGCAGTAGCAGTGAAAGTTTGTGAGTTTTCGTGTAGTTAGTGTATCTGACAGAAGCTGATCCAGTAAAAGATTGTAAGTCATATTTTTCTACTTATATTCCAAGAGTCACTGTTCAGACCAACGAGAGATTCAGTTTATCGTAAAGAGAAGATATTCCAAGAGTCATTTTTCACTCAGGCCAACGAGAGATTCAGTTTATCGAGAGGAGAAGAGGCTAGCATAATTTGAACGTTTCGTGCATTTGAAGGAGATCATTAAGGACGATAAACTTGCAACAATTTGTTGTAAGATTGCTGATTACCTAGGGAGCTGTTAAGAATAGATAGTATAGGCTACAAGGAACAAGGATTTCGACCACTCATTATCAGAGAGAGATAGTTTTGTTTTTCCGCAGTTTTTCTTTTATTGATAACACAATTTTTACAATTACTTTAGAAAAGACATAAATATTTTGATTAGGGGATTTAGAATAATAATTGGGATTTTGAGATTTTAACTTATATTGTTTGTACCATTAATTTTGAAGGTTCACGTACGTAGAACAAAATTTTGAGAATCATTATATGAGATATTGTTTATTGAAAACATTTGAGTGTGAATTTTATTTCATTATTTTTTTTTCAATATATAGTGTTATATCATTATATTTTTTTTATTACTCCGGTACTCTTTGGACCTTACCTTTCACATGTAAAGCATAGATATTGAAGCACGAATATAACCATAAGATAAGAGAATTAAAAAGTGTGATAGAATCATAATTATATCATTTAAATAATTTGAATTAATCAATTAATTAATAAGCTAATTAATTGCTTGGCGCACCTAAGACTTAGAATATTCTTAATTATTTATATAATATATATATATATCTATATATATATATATATATATATATCTATATATATATATATTATATATAACATCTTTCTTGCTTTGCAAATTATTTATTCTTTAACGTAATTTGGATAAACCTTCAAAATCAAACCTAGAACCTGACTCATATATGTCAAAATTAATGAAAAAAAAAATGGTAAATCTCAGATTAATGTCTACATTGGAATTGGATCCAATTATGGAACAAACTGGCTTTAAACAAAATTGTCCGGCATTGACAGTATTTTTTATCTAAAATCTGACATTCATGAAGCACTAGCAACTTGTACTGCAATATTTTTCGATTTGAAAAGGGCATTTAACATTTGTTGGAATTCAATATTCTGGAAAAACTACATTCATGGAATATTCGTGTAAATTGCCTAAAATTTATTAAAATCTTTTTACCAAACCTTTCTTCTGACGTGAGAGTAGATAATGCATACTCAGAGGGGGTAATTGAAGAAAACACTAACACGAACATTATTAAGCTCTTCATTATCATTAATGGCAATAAACAGTATTATTAACAATCTTACTAAACCTACATTTGCAGATGACCTTGTTGTCTTTATAAAAGGAAACAACACCACACCAATGATAAATGCTTTGTAGTATTTTCTGAACCAATTACAACAATGGTCTTTGACTACGGGATTCAAATTTTCACTAAATAAAATATTAGGCATGTTTTTCTCCAAAACGGTTTCATCAACGATAACTTCCTTAAAATGATATAATACTACCCCCTCATTTAAACCAATGGCAAAGTTCTTAGGTGTGTTGTTTGATCAACAACTTACATGGCAGAAACATATAAAAAAAACGTTTTAACAAGTCACAAAAGACTGAATCTAATGAAAACGTGGTAAACCGAAACTGAGGGTCAGATTAGATCAGATTAGGAGATCAGATAAATTAGATTATGGATCATTTGCATGTGCATCTACTTTAAAAACACAGTATTCACAACCCTGGTATTAGAATTGCACTTGGATCCTTCCGAACAACTCCTACCGAAAGCATACTGAGCGAAGTCGGCGAACCATCTCTAACTACCTAAGAATATCCTTAGCTGTAGTACATGCTATATCTGTGGTATCAAATATAAAGAAGCCTCTCTTATATAATACTTCTTCTATAAATAAAGCTTCTTCATATAGGTCTATTTCATTGTTACCTGGCATGTCTAAATTGTACGAAAAATTACTCTTGAAGAGACTAAAACCGATTATAGAGGAAAAAATCTAATTCTTAATCGTCAGTTTGTGTTTAGAGTAAGCCACTCAACGATAGATCAGGTGCATAGAATAACATATATAGTAGAAAAAGCTCTAAAAGAAGGAAAAGTCTGTTCCGCAAGCGCAGGCTTCTGACAAAGTGTGGCATGACGGATTATATCATAAAATGGGATGCTACTTACAAAAACAAAACATCAGTTGATAAACTGATAAGACTGGTTAAGGCTACAATGCGTAATGTGGTTTGCAAAGTCGAAATACAGGGCGAACAATCACAGGAGTTTGGAACGCATGTTGGGCTGCGACAGGGAGACGCGCTGGCGTGTCTGCTTTTCAACATAGTACTGGAAAAGACGATCAGAGATGCCCGAATAGACAACAGCGGAAATATTTTTAATAAATCATCCCAAATTTTGGCATATGCAGATGATGTGGACCTAGTTGCCCGCACAACACGCAAGCTAGAAGAAATGTATACCACCTTCTCAAATGCCTCAAAATCTATGGGCCTACAAGTAAATGAGGAGAAAACTAAGATGATGGCATCAACACCCAACAATAGAGCCAGGAACATCGGTCCCAATTCACGGTTGATAACTCTACCTTTGATGTGGTTGACAAATTCACATACTTAGGCTCCCTGATCACCAAAGAGAACGCCATAACGGAAGAAATTAAGCGAAGGATAGTAATGGCCAACAGATGCTATTTTGGACTGAGTAGACATATGAGAAGTAGAAACTTAAGCCAAAAAACAAAAATAACTATATACAAAACCCTTATACAGTCAGTGTTGACATATGGATCGGAGACATGGACCATCTCCAAGGCAGACGAAGACCTTTTGCTTATTATTGAACAAAGGATCCTGAGAGGAATATTTGGTGGCATCTGTGAAAGTGGTGTTTGGAGGAGGAGATAAAACTACGAGGCATACCACAGATATGTACAAAATATTTGGTGGTAAAGACGTAGTATCTCTTATAAGAATAGGAAGATTAAGATGGGCAGGACATCTAGCAAGATCAAAGCAGAACAACCCTCCTAGAAGAATCCTTATGTCACAACCCGTGGGAAGCAGAAAAAGGGGTAGGCCAAAACTCAGATGGAAGGATGATGTAGATGAGGATGGTAGAAAGATAGGCGCAGCAAACTGGCAACGGTTGGCAATGGATAGGACTGCCTGGCGTAATAGACTTGGGAAGGTCGAGGCTCTTTCATAGGGCTGTAGCACCATTGATGATGATGACTTACCAAAACAATATTCTGAACTACTACTAGAATCATATATCCGACAAATACTTTCGACTTAAATATGAGGAAGCATATTCAGAATTAAGAGAAATTAAAGCTGGAGTTCCACAAGGAAGTGTCCTGGGGCCAGTGCTATACCAGCGATATTCCATCATTAGAACCTAACACAATTGCGACATTTGCAGACGACACATGCATTCTAGCAGTCGGACAAAACCACGAGGATGCAGCAACCATGATGCAAAACTTTGTTGAACAAACAGAGTCCATCATCAGTGCATTTACGTGGCATAAGTAGTACCACTTTAGTCTTTTTATTTGTGTAGTATCTATTACATTTATATCAACTCCTCAGACCTCGCTTTTATATATTTATTAGTGTCCTTGTCAACATGGTTGATCTTCAAATTCGACGACAAAAATTCATTTCGAGAGCTTTTAATCTGTTTTAGTTTCTTATTTTTATATTTGAGGTATTTTTCGTTAAATTTTCTTATTACGTAGTCATTCTTCTTCATCATCTGCTATTATAAACTGAACAGTGGCAAAGCTGAGGTAGAACAATATATCGTTTACTTTAATACCCATTCTGACACATTTGTTTTTTTATTCTCGAGAGACAGATATAACGGTTTTAACACACTTAAGGCCCGTTTTCACGCTACGTCTTATTATACGTTTTGTTGGATAGGACAAATCCTATACAATAAAACGTGGCGTGTAAACAGCAAAACGTACGTCTTGTCGGAAGGAAAAACTTAAGGCCGTTTTCACGCTACGTCTTATTGTACGTTTTGTTGGATAGGACAAATCCTATACAATAAAACGTTGCATGTAAACAGCAAAACGTATGTCTTGTCGGAAGGAAACACATAGTGTGTATACACTGGACAAAACGTACGTTTTTTCTTACGTTTTATGTGACCAACAAAACGTACAATAAGACGTAGCGTGAAAACGGGCCTTTATATACTTACTGTACAATTTTATTCTCTCACAGTTTATTTATAAGATTGGCTGATTTTTAGTCTTTTTATTGCTGTCCAGAGTCTAGAAAGTGATCTGCTTGTGTACGCGCTGTTTTTGTATAATTCATATAGTAGGACAAACAAGTATGTTTTTACGAATTATAATGATTTAGATAATTTTAAATATGTTTTTTAAAAATTTTAGCAATCGTAAGAAATACTGCAATAATTTCTAATAGCTTGTTATAATTTATACCTGATCTATAAAAAAAATTATACCTTCTTCTTAGGGACATACTTGTAATGATGGCTCAAATACCCTCTTCAGTACAATTATGATAAAAAAAAACAATATAATAATTTCTATTACAGACAAAAATTACGAGTAATCCAAACATTATCTAAAAATAATTTACGATCCAATATGAAACGTTCCCTGTAAGCAATATGACCAGTAAAACTATAGTGGTAGCAAAACATGGAAAATTAGACAAAACCGAATCAGTTGACATCTTATCCCAATGGCTGCATGCTCTCGAAACCAGATCGTCCTTGTTCTGGTTGAGGTATCTTGGAGCAGGATTCAACGAAGATGAAGTCGAAGATTGTGAAGAAAAGAGAGCTCATTCTTTAGGATCTACTTGTAGCAGCTTCAGTGATACTGACGCTGATAATGTAGACGAGTGTGAAGAAGACTTCGGTGGTGATGTTTTTGCGTTACCACCATGTAAGAGTATAGCGCATAGAGAATCGGACCTGCTTGTTGCTTTGTCAGAAAATTGTACGTTAGGACCAGTGTGTTATTTTTGCAGGTAATTTTTATTATTTCTTTGTAAACACGTTTTAGTTTAGTTAAAAAATGTAATTATTATGCTGTGAATCATTTAAAATATTTACTTTCTAATATGCTGATAATCCTATTACGATGAACGTCAATTGTCCAAAAAATCTACAGCTCCCTGTGGCTATAATTCCTAGAAGCGATGTTTGCTAACCAATATTTCACTTTTCTTATCTACATAACTATTTTATGCTTGATGAAAGTATCGCGTACTTGTCACATATCGATCTTCATATTGGGCACAAAATAGGATGTCTGCGAAACTTATCTGATGATGCTTTTCTTAATGACTACACCAACTTTTGGATCGTCGGTATAACTACTTCTTTTGTTTGAATTCCTTTTTGCTTTTGTTCAGTTTCTGGTAACATTTTCTCCTCTATTGAAATAATTAGATTGTCTAGTTCTTAAGTTCTTTATTCATAGTTTCTCTCTTCTTTCTTTAGTTGATTTCCTTTTCTTCCTAGTACGTAGTATTTTATAGAATCTCCTCTGCTTGTCGTGCTCTGTACCCTGTTGTATCAATAAACATGCTCTGTTATTTCATTCTATTATAATCTTATATTCTTCGTCAAAACAGTCATTCGTTCTTGTTCTTCTTTGTTTACTTTTTATGCCTAGTAATTCTTCAGCTGCTTCTTTCATGATATTTCTATAACCCTGGATGGGTCTTTGCTCTTTGGCTATGGCCTTCCATTCAGATCTCTCTTGTGTCCTTCTTCTCCATTGTCTTATGTTCATTGTTTTCAGGTCGTCTTCCACGTCATCCAACCATCTCGTTGCCTTCAAGCCTTCCTTTTTTTCGCCTTCCTATGGTCTTCCATTGTAACATTTTCTTTGTTGTTTTTGCATCGTTTTGTCTCTGCACATGTCCCAGCCATGACATTCTTTGACTTTTCACAAATCTTACAATGTCATAACCTTCATTTAACTCATTAACCTCGTCGTTTCTCTTGATTCTCCATGTGCCATCTTCCTCTTGTACCGGCCATATGCTTTCCTCAGTATTTTTCTCTCGAATGTCCTGAGTTGGGCTTATCTTTTTTCGTCATTACCCAAGTTTCACATCCATAGGTTACTACGGGTCTAATCAGTGTTCTGTAGATAGTCATTTTGGTTCTTTTGTTTAATAATTTCGATGTCATCAATCTTTTATTAACATAGTATGTACGATTCCCGCTGGAAATACGTTACACTTGTTCGTTAGTATAGTTGTCTATTGTGATATTATTTTCATTGTCAGTTATTCTTTTGACTGTCATATACTTCGTTTTGCTTCGTTTATTTTGAGACCTCTTTTTCTTGCTTCACGATCAATTTGTTTGAACACTTCCATTAGTCGTGGCTTATTCCTACTAATGATGGCTACATCGTCTGCATATGCAGTAATTTGTACTGATTTGGTGTTTATATGGCCGGTTATATTGGTTTTTCTGATGACTGCCTCAAGAACTAGGTTGAATAGCATGATTGATAGAGCATCTCCCTGTGTCTTCCTCCCATGTTGATGTTAAACAGGGGAGTCAGTTCTCCATCTACTCTGACTGCGGCTTTTGAACCCTGCAACGTCATTTTTATAAGGCTGATGTATTTTTTAGGTATACCTAGATTACAAAGGTCTTCCAGCATTCTGTCTCTTTTCACACTATCAAAAGCTTGTTTAAAGTCTATATACATATTATATAGTATATCTACTATCGATTGAGTAGTGATTAAATCCCGCATTTGTTCCTTTTCTGGTGCAAACGTTTAGTATATTGCATTGTAGTCTAGAGTAAAATGATCTATCATCTTTACAGTAAGTCAAGATGATTTCCAGGTGCCTTTGTGTATATATTCTTGAGCGAAGTTAAAATTATACCATCAATTCATCAACAAAATTTACAGTTCGTTATTTCTCAGGCACCATTTTTTTTTTTCATTTTGTTGGGCTGTGTTATCATCATTCCTGTCCCATACCATGCAAGTTAAACTTAATATTCCACTTCTTCCTGTGACGGAATTTTTAGTTTTTTATTGACGCTTATAAAATGAAAGTATTTGCTTCATTGTATAGTTCAGAATCAGCAATCTTCTAATTCAGCTATTGGTTCATCTGTTGTGTCTTTATTTTGCTGTATAAAAACAATTCGACATATTATCAGGACATTCATTAATTCCATTATTAAATAGACTTCTTGGTTATTTGACACTCAAGAGAATTAAATTTTGCTCAGACATAAACTTCGAATCTCCACAATTGTGTATCGTTCTGTTGACTGCCGTAAACGCAATACGTTGAACAATATGATTCAGGTCATGCATGACTCGATGTATTTTTTTTTTAACCTATTCTCTATCTTTTTATTGTTGGTTATAGGTTTCCCCAGTTCTCTCCATCTTTCCCTATCTTGAGCTGTTCTCTGCCATGTGGGACCTCCTTGTTTCCTGATGTCATCTTTCCACTTCATCTGTGGTCTGCCTTTTGATCTCTTTGCATTGTATGGACGCCACTTTCCGATGGCATTGTTCCATCGTCCGTCTTGGAGACGTTCATTGTGTCCAGCCCATTTCCATTTCAGTTTTGCTGCTTGTTCTATCGCGTCTACTGTCTTTGTTCTGGTTCTGATCCACTGGTTACGTTTTCTATCTCTAAGTGATACACCCAACATTTGTGTCTCCATCGCTATTTGTGCCTACCTTATCCTATCCAAATTGGCCTGTGTAAATGTATAATTTCTTGACCTGACTCGATTGGCCTGACTCGATGTATAATTTCTTCCAAATAAACACATTTTGGCATGTTTCTAAAAGACCTTATGTACATATAAACCAAACAAGCATCTGCAGTTGCTAGCACTCTTTCTATTGACAGACTAAATAATTGAACTACTTGTATTAAAGTTGAATGTAGTTGAATTGAACTAAGAATATACTAATTTGAGTATTTTACATCTTTAGGAAAGTGTCGACTTTCGCACATAGAGTGTATGTGAACGCACATAGAAAGTCTACACAATATTAATGTGAATGAAAACTTGTTTTATAAACTAAATCTAATGTATTACTCTTATTATTATAAGCAGAAATATAATATACTTTTGTTACAAGGTAAAGTGACCAGCAATGAAACTTATGTTCATACGCGCCGCCAATGATCTAATTCACAATTTCCGAGAATGCATGATAGACACGTGATTTCAGCTACTTTTGACCACTTACGAGGCGTGATTTGTGACTTATAGTTTCATTTAATATTTGCCAGACTATAATTTGTTTGAGTTTTCGTAATAAAGAAAAATTGGTAACTGATGAAGTGCTTTTTGGTAAAAAATAGAAAACAATTCAGTAAGACATTTTTCTTTTGAGATAAATGTCATGAACAATTAGAAAAAAACTTTTTTGCGATATAACGTATAATCATTTTTCGACTTGTTCAGTAACTTTAATAATTTTTTATAGCTACAATACTACGCACTAAGTATCACTCAGAAATGTTCAGTTAAGGTTAGCTTAAGGTTTTTTTTTGTCGAAGGTGTAAAATATTCCAAAGACGTGTGTTAAATTCAGAGTAAAAGGATACACTAGAGTTTATTTCCACTCTTGGAAGTCTGGTCCTCGGGTGCGTTTATGATGCCCTGCCTATCAACTAAAACCACCTTCAGTAATACAGGCAGGGCTAGTCTTGTTTAGGCCCTCATAAGACGCATGCGCCGCTTTTTTCTCTTCTCTTTTTTCCCTTTAGCGTTTATGTCTGCTGTCTTTACCTTTCTAGAATCCCTTTCTTTTTTATTATTCTAGTTATTGGCCAAGGATTACTTTGTATTCATTTTGTCCTCTTTCCTCCACTTTCATTATGTTATTCGCTCTAACTTCTCCCACCTTTTCGTATAGTGTTCCGCTGTGGCGTTAACCATGCAGTTGTGGTCTTTTTGCTTAGCCATCGGTACCACGTAGACTCTGAAAGATGTATTTAGTCTCCCTCTGACCGTGTTCTACCCAATCTCTCACTTCCGGTATGAGTGTTCTTGTTCATTCAGCCCTATATTCGTTTTCTCACTCTTCTTGCCATTTGGCGTTGGTCACCTTTCTCTCGTCTACTTTGTCGTTTTCACTCATGCTGTACGTGATTGCTCTTTCTCGCTAGTGCTAGTAGGTGACTTGGTGGCACTCTCGCTGTCACTTGGAAGGCAGCTGTCAAAATCATCATACGACCCTTAGCACGGCCTTTCTGTTAGCTTTCTCCAGAATTCTTCTGTATTTTTGTTAGAAGTATTCCTCCTCCTCAATCCTTTAGCCCTTGTCAGGGCGTAGTGACACCCTAAATATTATTAGTCTGCTGTCTCCATTGACTGCGATCTTGTGCCATATGGACGGCTTCATGTAGGGATTTTCCCACCAAACTCTTCATTTGGTCCACCCATCGTATTGGAGATCTTCCTCTTGGTCTTCGGCCTTCTACCTTATCTTCTACTACCAATAGTTCCATGGTGCCCGTTCTTCTAGCTATGTGGCCGAAGTAAGTTAGGTATGCTTGGTTTACTTTTTTTTAGTAGCCTGTCTTTTATATGAAGCTCTTCCAGAATTGACAGGTTGGTTCTATGTTCTGTCCAGGACACGCGTAGAATTCTTCTATATACCCACATTTCGAAGGCTTCGATCTTACTCCTATCGATTTTTTTGAGAGTCCATGTTTCAGCTGCATATGTAGCAATGGGAAAAATAAGGGCATTGACCAACCTAGCTTAGTATTCCTTGTTATTGTTCGGTCTTTCCATATTTTAATTAATTTAGCAGTTGCGGTTCGGGCCATTCCTAGTCTACGTTTGATTTCTGAGGAACAATCACCATTGTTGGTTATCAGAGAGCCCAAGTATACAAATCTGTCGACTACTTCGAAAATCCCTATTTGGCGTATATGCGGTAGATTATTATTTGCTCTGTCTACAATCATTATTTTTGTTTTTCTGGTGTTGATTTGAAGTCCGAATTCTTC